ACTTTTGGAAAATTTTGATAATTTATCACTGCTTTTTCACCTTGGCCCCAAAAATACTCCATGTCAGTTCCTAGCTGGAATCTGTAAGTGGATTCTAGACTTCAGATAGATATATGATGCTTAGTGACTTGTTCAGTGCATGAGATTTAAAATTATATATATACTTAACAAAGAACCTAAGTCTTTTGTGCAACTTGTTTCATCCAGATAAACATGTTCTTTGCCCTCTAGTTCTCAGACTTAAAAATAACAATTAAAAATAGCCTTTTGGGTAAATACTTCCCCTGTTTATCCAAACTTAGAAGAGGACTAAACCAAGAGTTTTGCTTTCCTTGGCCTCCGCTGTAGTAACCTACTATCCTGAGTTTTTCTTTTTTCCACCCACAATTTCTTAGCATGTTTTGCCAGTTCTTATTCCTCCTTTAGGGTTGCTCAGGGCTTGAATATGGGCCCTCTTCCTGTCTTATTTGTATTCTCTCTATAAAACTTCACCACAGCTGCCATCACGTTCTGTACAAGGATGGCTTGCAAACTTGTTTCTCTAATCTCAGATATCTCTTCTGAGTTACAGCCCGATTTCTGCAATATTTCCTTCTCACTGGCACATCAGACTCAAGAACTTCACAACTAATCTGATGCTTCCCCCCCAAAATCTGCTCCTATCCCAGTGTTCTTACCTCAGTTTATATCATTGCTGCCCACTGAATCGCTCAACCACTCTGGAATGATGGTTGATTTTTCTCTTCTCTTAACCTCTCCTGGCCAACTAGTCATCAAGCACTATTGAGTCCACTGACTACACTTCTTATATCTACTTTTCTCCCCCATTTCCACTGCTGCTAGTTAAGAGTGAGCCACCTTCATCTCTTACCTGGATCACTGTACTGTCCCTGCAACCGCTCCTCCCTCATCTACCATTGCCTTCTTCCTATTGATTCTCCGTAATGAGAGCCAGGGAGAGCATTTAAAATGCAAGTCTGATTATATCACTTGCCTAAAATATTGTGACTCTTCTTCAGTTGTTATACTGAGTTCCAAAATCTCTTAAAATAAAGGTTAAAGTCTTTAGTCTGGCCTGCAGCGTCCTGCATTATCTGGTTGTACCCTGGATTTTGAGGGTAGCCTCACTAGCTGGCCACACCAAGCTCTCTTTAATTGCTTGTTGCAGGAAGACCTTTGAGCCTGTCTGAAATGCTTACTCACCCTTTGGCCTTCATTTGTAACTACCACTCAGGAGATGGATCTGACCCTCTTCCCTTGTGCTCTCGCCACAAGATTTCACTATGGCTGCAATCACATTATTCTATACTTAGAATGGCTTGCAAACCTGTTTCTCTTATCTCAGACCTCTCTTCAGAGTTACAGCCCTCTGAGTGCAGTATCTATTCATGCAACATCTTTGTCTCACCAGCACACATCCTTTAGGCCTCAATAGAATTATCTTTTCTTATTCCCAAACTCGATTAGAGTCTTCTCTGATGTGTTCTCATAATACCCTCTCTTTTATGTCAGAGGCTTTATCACAATTCATTATAATTTTTCTTGTCTCTTTCCCTTTCTAAGCTAAAAAGATAGGTTCTCCGTCTTATTGGGGGATACGTCCCCACCCAGTGCTTGGCATGTAAAAACACTCAGGTATTTGCTTAACAAATAATGATTCTATACTTCATGGCTTGGATAAAATATATTTATCTGTGATCTCCTATATTTTGAAATGTTAAAATAAAAATGAGGCTTGCTATTTGAATTCCACATATTATCTGAATATACATTTTAAAATAGTTTTGTTTTTCCAAAGAAATGCTCCTCGTTTGAAAGACTAAACCCTACCCTATAATGTACTACTTTAACCATTATTTCTCCTCTTTGAAAAGGTAATTTTCATTCTGGGTGGCTATTTAGAATACCAGTTTCATGGGCGCCTGGGTGGCTCCGTCGTTAAGCGTCTGCCTTCAGCTCAGGTCATGGTCCCAGGGTCCTGGGATCGAGCCCCACATCAGGCTCCCTGCT